AATATTAAATAAGGTAGGTATTTAAATGACCAACCTCTTTAATCAAAACCTAATATTACCAAATTCATTATATAGGGTGAAATTGAATGTTTTAATGAAACTTCGTGAGATTGTTGGGTTACGAGTATAGAGTATGCCTGATTTTTTTCGGATTTTTTTGAAGTAATTTTTTTCATGTATTTATTTATATTTTGTGTATTTTTTTGTCCTTTCCTCCTTTTGAGTAGTTATTCATATTAAACAAACATGCTTACATATCCAGTGAAAAACAAATAATAAATAAGCACTTCTAAAAAACGGAAAAACAGTAAAATTCCACCGCGGGTCAACGACCGACCGCGCCCGCCAGCCGTTGAGTGAGTAGGTACGTACACAGAGCTCAGCTGACTCGTTTGATTCCACACAATACAATAAAATCGTCTTAGATGCCTTTATTGAAATTGAAATAATAAGCACAAATGTCATCTTCTCTTAAGCAGAGAAAAACTTAAAAAGTTAATAATAATTTTGTCACGATTGGAAATAGGCAAAAGTTAAACAAAAAGAAATACTTGTTGCAGTTCAATACTTGGGTCAGAATGAAATTTATTACCAGGTATTCAAAAGTACTTACGAGACCGATGTACCTTTTAATTTTTTTCTCTATAACTTCCCAATAAATCACCAAACCTACTTTCGTAAAGCCTTGTGGCTCTGCTGAGTATTCCGTGACACTCGCAATAACACCACACCATATCCAAATTCTTATATTGAGGGCACAGAACAAGAACTAATCAAGGCATTATTTGCAAATCTTGTCTTGTCACAAATTTAAAAGATACGCACGCGCGCTTGAGACTCCGCTCGCTCACTGCGCTGTGCACCGCGCATACCTAGATAGGTAGGCAGGAAGGTATTCAACGGCGGGAGCGGTCATTGCTCCCGGCCGCCCGTCTCCTGTTTTTACGTCTTTTTTAGTAGTGCTTATTACTTGTTTTTTACTTACTCTGTATGCATGTTTTAAAAGAATAATTATTTAGTACCCAAAAGGAGGAAAGGACTTAAAATATAACAAAAAAAAACAAAATTTTATTTTAAATCATTTTTTAAAAAATCCGAAAAAATTCAGAGATACTCTATATACGTAACCCAACATTCCCACGAAGTTTCATTAAAACATTCAATTTCACCCTGTATATAATAACCTATTATCTAAGGTCTTAATAAGAAAAAAATATCTATTTTCAGGAGTTCTCCGTTACCAGGAGGAATTACGGAAAAATGCTCTCCTTTGAAGTGATGTTACTCTGGTACCTACATCAGATTATATATATTGTACCTACTTATAGGGAAGCCATCCGTCCGGGTTTCCCCGGATTTGTCCTAGTTTACGGGGCGTCCGGGGAGCGTCCGGGCAGGGTTTTATTTGTAGTCCGAGTTTAAAAAAAACCTGTTTTGGGTCGACAATCTTTTCTCTCTCAAAGATCAGCTCTGTCGCTCACGCTGTACGCAATAACAGCATTCGTTGCTATGTGGTGACATCACTGACACTTATTACACTGGTCGGTCAAACATCCCTCGGATGGAAGAAGAAGGGTATAAAGACAGACTTGTGTCCGAGATTGAGATGTTACTGGATCAAGTTTTAAATTGGAGCCAACAAAATTTGATTGGCCAGATGCAACTTATGACCGAGGATCGTAGTCGGTCAGCCCTAACGATCAGACATAATGGACCGATCGCAGAAAGTCGATAGAGATAATAGTTGAAAACGGTTTCACTATTTATCAAAATAGTCCAGTCACTTTAGGGGGAAAAAGGGGTCAATCTCGGAATTTGAGATAATAAGCTGGAAAATCGTGCACAGCTTCACTTTGGCGTTCTAAAAGTTGTCTCAAGTTTCATATTATCTCGTGTCTGCGTCGTAAGTTATTCGAGGTCAAAGGTCACGAAAATCTCCGTTTCTATGGTTCCAATCACTTCAACAACTATTATGAAAATTAAAGATAAAAAAATTGCCACACTTTTGTCTCTATACGCTCAACCCTTTCGAGATAGAGGGCGGAGAGCACCCAGCACTCAGGCATTTCCTCCAGGAGTTTCCAGCTTATCATCTCAAATTCCGAGGTGAAACCCTAAAGTGACTGGACTAAGGGTACAGCCAGAGTGCACTCAGATTCAGATTCAGACTCTGAAAACAAGCGCGAGAAATATACAGTGTTTGTTTGTTTCTCGCGCTTGTTTTCAGTCTGAATCTGAATCCGAGTGCACTCTGGCCGTACCCTAAATCCGGAATACATTTAATTTTGTTGCGCATATTTCGTGTCAACGCGAATAGCAGCACTGCTGCCGTGCTATTTCGTAAAATTGTCATACGCAAATTCATAGCGGATCTGGATACGGACATACGCGCGAAAATTTTGTGTCTACAGAATAGCACTGCTGGGCGAACTACCTACGGTCACTGTTGCTTGTTCGTAGTCCTACTGATATATTTGGTGTGATGGTCGGTAATGCATTACTAAAATAAAATAAAACATGTTTTAATAGATACAGTTTATTGGTTTTCTAGGTACATACAAAATTACAGCGGTAACGAGTCTAATGATATTGCCCGTATCCGATTAAAATAATATACAAGACACCAAGTTTTGTTAGCACCATATTTTTGTTTTTTTTTTAATTATTTTTCTATAAAAAAATTATGTACCATTACCTTAACCGCTACGAATGCAAAATAGTATTACTTTATTGAAAAGTTCAAATGGGCTTATATTCGTTTTTCCAACGTAAGGAAATTAAGTAAGTAATACACTTTGATCACACAACCTAATATACGAACTTATAAATACCCATTGCTGAATTATATTTCAAGCTCTTAACCTTGATAAATATCTGTCTTATAAAATAAGAATTTGAAATATAAAACAATAAATTTGGTCCAGCTTCAACAAAACAAAAGAATTTTCTTTGTTAATAATAAAATCTCCACATGAGTACAGTCTTTGGTTAGGACAGAGAAGATATCAGAAACTACGTAACTTAAATTTTACAATAATATCACAAGCATTAACGTTGATACATACAGTTCATAATTTTATTTATTATTTCTTGAATTCATAAATAATTAGGCAATTCACATAACTATTGACAAATGAAATATTAAAAGGTGTTATATATCTCAGAATAGTACATTTACACTAGAAACAATTTGGCATGAGGCTAGAGTTGTGCCTGTGTGCCAAAAGTCACCGGGTAAATGTGCCATTACCTAATAAACTCTCAACCGATTGAAACTAAATTCCAGAGTGCAATAATAAAAACCATTCATTGCGCTTAATAAACATAATAGAAATTATGTTACGTATAACTAAACATATTTATTAATACTCCTAGGCGATATAACAAGCATAGTGTTAAGCTACCTACAGATGGCAATAACATTAAGTTAACAAGGAGTTGACAAAGGATTACAATGCACCAAATACTATGCGAAAGTCGTACAGTAGTGTACACCGTTATTTGTCCATACTACATATGTTACAAGTACGCTTTAATACTTTCGAGGCTAAAGATCCACCATTTACTTTAAAAAATCCACCTAAGCTAATACCTATTACATTAAATAAATGTGTATTCACATTCATTAACTTCAAGTAGATAAACCTTTTGATTAAAATAATCACTATATTTTTTTGTCATATTTATAAACTTGAAGGTAAATAAATGTTTTTTAAGGTACTATTTCTTAAAATAAAGGCACGATAAAACAAGCTTATGGCAGCGTCATGCCAACTTCATTCCGTAAAAGGGACAATATAACCAACGATTTGCTGTACACATACATTCATGAAATACAGAACAACTTTGATTATATACACACACTAGATAACGTATTAACTGCACGAAAGCGGCACGAAAAATATCTACTACTTATGGTAGATATGCTCGTCGCTACACACGCACATATTGACTGCTTCAGAACAATCTGATAGTCACGCACACATTGAGCGAAACATGAGCCGTTTTCTTTGCGTGATTTATTTAGATTGCTCTATCAAGGCATATAAATAATCAAAGCCAGAACAAACACGAGTAGACCAAATGAATACAAAAAAAAATTTTAGAAATGCTTGTAACTTTTGTGCAGTTACATAATTATTCTACTAAACCTCCCTTCTCCCATACCGATTTAATGGTTTATTGAGAAATAATACACTAGGTTTTAATGCTGCTTATTATCAAGTAAGAGTTACTGCCTAAATTAGCTTTATTAGACTATAATTACACAACAATAATCGTTATTATGATCTTGCTGCATGCATTTTGGTGTAAATATTCCACAATAGTGCTGGGATTTAAATACGATGTGACTCAGTTACAGTCGGAAACAATTCAAAGGTTGGTGATTTATCTCGACGACATGATCAATGTTTTAACAAGACCACTTGCACGATTAGTTTAGCACTTAGCAATTTAATTGTTAATGTCATTTGATTTTATCTGGGATTGATCTTATCAAACTAGGACTAAAATAACCATTATCTAAGTAACTATTATTTCTTAAAAAACAAAGCTCCAATAGATACCTAAACATATGAGTTTCGTCTGATATGAACAGGTGTGGACTTGTGGGACTTGGACTGCGTACACGAGAGAAAGTGCTCGAGGTATTTACTTCAACAAAAACGATTGCTTCTAACTTCATTGTCTAAAGCACACGACGAACAAAATTTCGCGAAAAAAATCTGACAGATGGGTCAGATTGCACAAAACTTCTTTAATCGGTGTATTTATGTACACAGGTTTTGCCAAAGCATGCGCACTTTTAATCTTACGACGAACATGTTTGCTTATTGTGTCCATGAGAATTTATCCTCTAGGGACCATAATCTCTCGTTATAAACCGAGATTCTTTCGGAATTTCGTCGTCTAAGGAAGTCCCTCATCCACGCGGGAGGTTTACATGTAATAGTATAAGACCGTACAGACTAATAGCTGCCAGCGCAAGGCGTCAACAATCACTCCCGTCTAAATCGAGAGATTCTTTTATATGCTTACATGGAGTTTGCAGCCTGAGCTACTAGAGCTTCGGGTAATTGCTTCAGGACATCGTCGTCGTCGTCCGAAGAAGTTCCTCGGCCGCACTGAAGGTTTACTTAGAAGAACGGTAATAGTATAGGACCGTACAGCCTAGCAGTTGGCGTCAAAAATCACTCAGTTTAAATTTAGAGATTCTTTAGGATGCCAACATGGAGTTTGCAGCCTAAGCTACTGGAGCTTCAGGAAATTTCGTGGTTCGAGGAACTTAGAAGGGTAGTAATATAGAACCGCGCAGACCGGAAGCTGCCAACGCAAGGCATGAAGCCTTAGAGCTTAGAGAATTTCGTCGTCCGGAGAAGTGCCTCGTCTGTACTGAAGGTTTACTCAGAAAAAAGGTAATAGTATAAGACCGTACAGCCTAGCAGTTGGCGTCAAAAATCACACGGTCTAAATCGAGACATTCTTTTGGATACCAACATGGAGCTTGCACAGCCTGAGCTACTGGAGCTTCTGGTAATTTCGTCGTCCTAGGAAGTCCCTCGTACGCGCGGGAGGTTTACTTAGAAGAAGGGTAGTAATATAGAACCGCGCAGCCCGGAAGCTGCCAACGCGAAGCATGTAATTCTATCAGCTGTAACAACGTACGTCGGATAGATGGCGCTGCACTGGTATTAAGGAACGCGTCGCGGACGGCGGTAAGGAGGCGCTCCAAATCACCGGGTAACTGTGATTCCAGGTCCCGCCCGATGTATGTGAGCACGAAGAACAGGTTCTCCGTCTGCGGATACAAATGAAGTAATCAGACATATCTTGCAGAGGCATTAAAAAATCAAACTAGCGATTAGAAATTTCATAATGTGAAAATATCTAAATCTCTTCGAAATAACGCAATATAAGGTTTGTTAAAAGAATTTTAAAATCTGGTGGGTGGGAAGCAATAATTTGCTAGCGAGATGTCGACAAAATGTGTGATACAGTACTCGCAGCACCCGCATATAAGCGCCAGCTGCACCTGACCGGACTGTGTGCGTGTGTATGTATGTGTGTGTGTGTATGGGAGTGTCTGTATGTGTGCGTGTGTGTATGTGTGCGTGTGTGCATGCGTGTTTACGTATGTGTGCGTGTGTGCATGTGTGTGTATGTGAGTGTCTGTATGTGTGCGTGTGTCTCTCGCTGTGCGTGTGCTAGTGTGTATATGTATCTGTGTATGCATGTATGTGTATGTGTGTGTATGTGTCTGTGCGAGAGTATGTGTATGCGTGTGCAGGGCACGTTTAAATAGCTTTGGTCCTAGCATATAAAATATCATCATTATACTTACGTCGCTGGCGGAAGGCACGGGTTGCCGGATGCAGTCCTCGCAGCACTTGCAGATGAGGGTCAGCAGCACCTGGCCGGGCTGCGCTGGTGCTGCAGCAGCGCGTCGTTGGATGGCACGACGTCGCAGTTGACAGTACATTTCGAGGAGGAATGACAGGAACGCCATGAGACGCGGCCGTCCGCCGCCTACTATGCTACCAAGCAACTGCGAATAACACACCTTATGATTCGCGAAATCTTTTGAATAGCCAAAACTAACCAGGCATAGCCAAGGGGCCTACCGCCTATCGGGATTGCTTTGGCTGTTGATATAGCTTATGATTTCATTTTTTTGGCATTTAAAACCCTTCGGTGGTCAAAAATAACAAAATGAAATCATAAGGTATAGCAAAAGCCAAAGCAATCCTTATAGGCGGTAGGCCCCCGGTTAGTCAGGCAAGATATCCTGTCAGGAATAATGTGCAAGAAAGACAGTATTTTCGTAGACACGAGTTGTACACACAATGCGACAGATTCTGGTGACTCTTTTCTTTACAGAATGAAAGTAGTCTTTCCCAATCATTATATAAAGGTTCAGCAGAACAGCATGCGGGCTGAGACGGCAATGCGACATAGAGAGACAGTGGCGCAACAGAAACGTGACGATTTCACCGTTGTAATGGGCGTATTTATTGTCTTTGCGTCTTACTTACCGCAGAGTTGTTTGATCTGTCCATTACCTATAGTAACGTTGTACGTTAATATAAACCTTAATAACGATAAGTTTTAAAAATTTAATATAAATATTTTTCGATTTTAACAAACTGCGTCAAAGACGAAACTTTGTTCTATAACTTATTCAAAGGCCCCACTATATTTTTTTCAAGCCTACCTTTTCCCGGTTGTGGTACCACTGTTGGCAGGTGTTGTGAAGCGACAGCAGGAACATCTTAGGGGGCAAATCGCCTTACGGTATTGCTATAGCTATCGCTATCGCTGTATGTATTGGTAATAATAATATTAAGAAAATGAGCGCGAGGTATTTGAAAACTTTCGGTGGTCAGAAATAACAAAATGAAATCGTAAGCGACAGCGATAGCCATAGCAATACCGTTAAGCAATTGACGCCTGAAGTCTCGCGTGCCGTGCGTGAAAAGTGTCGTTTTTTCGATATGCATTAAATCAATGATTGTTAATTTAACAAATGCAAAGCAAATTTTGTTCTAATACTTACTATAAACTGTTTTAATAGAAAATATTTGTGATATTAAAATGCATGGTCGGTTATATAGGAGTCTCTTTTCCTCGCGGTCCGTACCTGCTTTATTACTAACCGCGCATTCAGAATTGCGCGTAGAGTCATACAAGTAAGGTCTATAAGAATATAGAATATATCCGGAAGAATCCGGATATAGCAATAAGTCGTAAAATCTTACGAGCTTGCATTTCGAACTGTCATAACTCTTTGACGCATGCGTTTTAATTAAGACATTATACAGAATGCATTAAAGGTGACTTTCAATTGTTTAAATACTGCCTTATATTGTTTTTGACTACGCTATCATCTTATGGAGCTCCATGGATCGTCCAATGTACCTTTTGGACAGGTTTCGGTCACGATTTTGTTCGTGTTGGTGTATCTAGGGTATTTAATATCGTTGCTCGGTGCCTGATGATATGCCATGCCTACCTTGTCCCGGTCGTGGTACCACTGCTGGCAGGTGTTGAGAAGAGACTCCAGAAACGTCTCCGTGGTCTCGCGCTCCACTACAGCGATGCATCGGCGCGCGGCCGGCAAGGCATATCGCGGTGATTCTACCGCACGCCCTACGAGATGCCCTACGGCGTCCATTAGAGTGCGTGCTACCACCGCGTTGGGATCTAGATACACACAAACCATGATGATAATAAGATTATAGTACGAGTATGTGTAATTTTTACATGAAATTAAGGCAAGGCAATCGTTGCAATTCTGGCAATAATTCTCTAAATTTAAAAGTAAAAGTAACTATCCGTCTCTCTTTTTCATTAAAGAATGACAAGGTGTCCAAAGATCAGTCACACACAGCCAATTTACCTCACCACATCGTCTACTCCGTAAACCTCTATCAAACCTTATTGATTATTTAGTAAAATAAAAGGCGGTTTACAAAAGGTTACAGACGTAAAAAGTTCAGCAAAACCAGTGGATATCTTATATGTGGTAGTAGTGAAAAGGTTGTCTGAACCATACAGCTACTGAAGATATTCTACAAACGAGCGCGACTTGGTATAGATATATCTATGGATGTCAAACAAGATGTGTACCTTCAAGAGCCTTATCGATGCACTCCTGAATCTCGGGCGGGAAGGTGCCCAAGTCGCCAGCATCAGCCGCAAGTCCCAAAGCCGCCATGCCGCTAGCTAAAGCGTCAGCTGACGTCAGCGATTTAGACCGCTTGAGGCCAGGCGTGAAGGACTGCGGCCGAATACTCTTGCCGTTACCGTTGATCAGAGAAGACGGAGGCGACTTCTTCTTCTCGGACATATTCTGCGGTTGCAACTTGAAATGCACGCGGGGTCCTGACTGAAAAACACATGAATGGTGATTGTTAAAAATGAAATGTAACGACCGTAGTCTATGAGAAACAAAGTAAGTATTAAAAATACTAGTCCATTGGTAGTTCAAGGTAATCATCAGCAGCCTATTAATGTACCCACTGATGTGGCAAAGGCCTTCCCTATGGATGGAATAGGGAGATTGGACTCTGACCCATCACGCAGGCATAAGATTTTGGTCATTCATCCAATGACCGACCACTGTTAAATTTTTCAACAACCGCAGGCCGATCGCGCTAACCACCTACGCCATCGAGCTCCTTAGTTCAAGGTTATATTGGGTTTTATACCTATGTACTTCTTAACCGGATGCTAGTCCATCCGTCTGTCAACTTTTAACTGTACTGTACGTAGGTCATATAGATAAGACTTATGCCAGAAAGTAATGTAAGTAGATACTTGCACGTGCACCGAGCGTGTTGAGTGTTGAGGGCGATGTGGGGCGGCATCACGGGCCGGTAGTGCGGCGGCACCTGCGTGTGCAGTATGGCGGAGCGCGAGTGCTGCAGGTTATATAGGTAGACTTATGCCAGAGAGTAATTTGAAGTGATGTAAGTAGATACCTGCACGTGCGCCGTGTCGCCGGGCGTGTTGAGGGTGACGTGGGGCGGCATCACGGGCCGGTAGTGCGGCGGCACCTGCGCGTGCAGCACGGCGGAGCGCGAGTGCTGCAGCCCCACGCTCGCGTACCCGAGGCCCATCGCCGACCTAAAGTTATATTAACTAATTATGCGGAACTTATTAAAAATTTTAAAAGGTAAAAAACATAGTCCTGTCTATTTTTCTCCTGTTGGGGTCAAGTTTTTGAACCAGTTTTTTATGACTGATATTTATGTTTCCGAGGGCGCCGAGTCCGAATATGAGTCTGAATTTTCCAGAATAGATTGAGGGCATCAAAAGCTTCAATTTGAACTTTGGTTTTTCTCCATAGACTCATTTTTTGCCCCGCAATCGACAAATTAAGATTTTTTAAATATCCTATTGTAGCGCCCCCTTTGCAAATATAAAAAATTCATTGGAAGAATAAAAAATACAAGTGATTCATATGAAAAAAAAAATGAAACAGTTAAAACCTGTAATCAGTTACTTTTGGACACCATTTAGTGGCTAAGAATTACTAAAAGCGCCATGTTCGAAATTAAATTCTGACTTCATATTCGGATTCAGTACCCTCGAAAACAAATATAAGTTATAAAAATACTCGTTCAAAAATTTTACCCCTAAACTAGACAGGACTACTGCATTACCACGAAACCTTTCTATCTCTCCCAAACTAAAACAACATCAGCTTCAGGTTATGTTTACTCAGCAATTGAGCGTTCCCAATACTTCTCAAAAGTCGTCCCTATTCTGCACTATAAACTGTACTTATAAATAATAAATATTTCCAACACTCACACCAATTAGCATAGCCCAAAGTATGCACTGTAAGGCTTGTGTTATGGGATGCTAGGGTAACGGGTAGAATACATATACAGTACATATATAAGTATATTTATGTAGAAATACATATTAAACATCCATGACTGGAGTACAAATGCTCGTGTTCATCACATAAACATCTGCCCCCACCGGGATTTGAACCCGGGACCTCGCGAGTCGGCGACACCATGAAACCCGGCGTACAAACCACTCGGCCACGGAGGTCGTCAAAGATTATCAACTGTTGTTTAATAGGGTATTTGAAAAGTTTTAGAAAACGATCTCACGGTATTAACTAATGTTTATAGAGTCCATAATAGTGGATATTCATCATTATTATTTTACAAACCACTCGGTCACGGAGTTCGTCGGTTTTAAGAGCGGACACGAGCTGAGAGACATTTGAGAAATAAAAATAGGTATTTGAAAATACTATTAATGCTGTCACGCATTGGCAAATACCGTGTGATAGGGACAACAGTAGTTAACGCTGAAATTGCGTATAAAAATTGCAAATTTCGAAGTTTGGCTCTCGACGATTTCGTCTTCGAAAATTAGATATATGTAAAATAAATATTACATAGAGAATCATAAGTAGTTGTACTAAGCCTATATGTTTTGGGTTTTTAATAAATGCTTATTAAATCTCCACACGAGACGTTTTGTTGTGATATTTTTTTATGGCTTCTAGATTATTTGAAAGACAAGTTGTCGAAAAAAAGAAAACATAGGAGCAAAGAATGAGTAAAAATATAGTTTATGAATGAAAATCAATTATTTAGTGATAAAAATCAAGAAGGAATCAGTCGAAAACGTTTCTCCCCTATTTAATTACCCAGATTAGCTGTCTCCTTTTTAAACCTAAAAGTTTTTCTATGAAAATTCTTACGCAAACGTAAGTGATTTACATACCAACGCTAAAGAGATATCATTTACAATAATTTAAATAATGTATCATCATCATTATCCTATTAATGTCCCCACTGCTGGGGCACAGGCCTTCCCTATGGATGGAATAGGGAGATTGGGCCATAACCCACCACGCGGGCCTAGTGCGGAATGGCGGGTGCTAACGACTGCAGATGCAGCCAGGTCCAACGGCATAACGTACCTTCCGAAGCACGGAGGTACTCGGGATAGAAGATTTTTGGTCACTCATCCAATGACCGACTACTGTGAAAGTTGCTTAACTTCAACGATCGCAGCCGAACGCGCTAACCACCTGCGCCATCGAGCTCCTCAAATAATGTATACTATGTAAATTAATTATATAATGTATATTCATTATATAACACTCGCTTTTCGTCTCATGTTTGTGCTTGCTTTTACGAAAGTAGGTATTTCATTTAATAATTAGCGATACTAACAGCATCATCATGTTTGATTTGTGAGCTTTAGCTTTAGATAAGTAAACACTTGTCATATCATTCGAGAAATACTTAAAATACTTTGTTTAAAAGAGCAAAGGAGAATGCCAGATTTTCATAGAAAATTAGGCCATGATTGCGCTTTTATGAATTTTGTACCAAACAATAAGGAAATAACTATAAATTAAGTAGGAAAAATATAGTCACATTATGCTATAGAAGTTTATAGAAATCGTATCATAAAGTAGTAAATTGGGGTTATAATTAACCACAATATTTGACAGATGATTGATAGCTGGTACATTCCTTCCATATGTGAAGCAAAATATGGTACATTCCTTCCATGTGTGAAGGCAAAGGGAACAGAATGTCAATACAACCTGTTTAAATGTTGGCACCACAGATTACTTTATACTAGTCAAGTTGACACCGTGGACGAAGCATCGAAATCCTTTACAGATTACGATTATTCAACTTCTGCACTTTGTCTATTTGTGGTTGCTTTTTGCTGTTTGTTAACAATACGAAGCCTTAATTCAAAAGCACTTTTCTGAGGCACATTTCATTACTGCGCAACATAGGCGAAATATGTCATTTTAATTTTGACTCATGTATAACTTAATACATATTGAAAATACCAATCAAAATGAAACTCCTATGGAAATACATTATAAACAATAGGGTATTTTGACAGTATTAAAAATAAAGTGCCAATTGTTAACATCTGTGTTTAGAATAAATATTGACAGGGGTTTTTACTATTTTTACAAAAAAAAATCATAATTTTACTAAAAACCCATGAAATGTGTCAGTGCCAGTGTCTTTGTGAATATACATATAACGTCCGAAAAAATCTACTTATTGAAAACAATACTTTTCAATGAAGCATAGGAAATTTCTAAGAAGAGTTCTTTAATACTCCCTTAATAGATTTTAATATTACCGCAACAAAACTCACGTTTGCAAGGCCCACCTAGAATGACGCATTTCACGATTGATAGTCTCTACTTGTAAGAAAGAATAAAGCCTTGTTTACTGTTTACCAAATGGGCACAATAGCCACAGGGTACTTATTTGCGTGCGCGTGCGCCGTGCATCTTAATCGTAAATATCAATTATATGATCGGTATGATTGATGCGACGCGCATCATACCGACGCTGCCAGCCAGGTATGGAATCGGCTCCTGCCTGTGCGATGAATAGCGGTTGGTGTCGATATGATTTTTGCGTCCGCTATATTTTATGAACGGAAATGCCGACTTATTGATAGATTATATCAAAATTACGGGTAATTTTAGAAAGAAAATAATTAAAGCAAGTTACGTAAAGAAAATAACTATGATAATATGAGGAAAAAGACAATATTCTGAAAGACATTATAGTAATATAAGTTATTTACGGGATTGTTACCATGTACCTTGTCAGTTACTCCGTGATCATGGCGCTTGCAACAGTGCCGAGATATCGGAAACTCGCTAAAAACAAGGTACATGGTAACAATTCCGTAAATAATTTATATTACTATAATGTTAGTGACCATGAAAGTTTAAAACCATATATTCTGAAAGACCCTTTGGAATTCGAAGTTGTTTAAAACAACTTAGTCATAATGCATAGAATGACGTACGACCACGCAGAATTAGGCTCAAGTGGCATGTCCTGCCTGTCCTGTTTGCGTGTACTAAGGCTATTTACCCACCGCGTCAGAACCCAGCTCTAAATACATTGGGGCACAGAAGCGATGGATGGAGCTATTTATATGTTACAAATAGTATCTACCTAACCTAATGAGATGAACTAGGAAAGCGCTGGTTTTACAACAGATTGAATCATGAGTCCAGCGGTTTAAATTTAGAGTGAATTCGTTTCAAGCTTCACATCACAGACTAGAACATGTCATCTATCTGCTACGATAAAGCCCTTAAAAACAGTTAAATATTGTACATTATTAAGTTTCATTTAATTTATTGGGTATAGCAACGAGTACTTTTAATGAAAGTGAACAAGCGTATAATATAAGCGCAGCAGAGTATTTTATTTTTTATTAATATAAGTTATGCCAGATTTCGTAACGTAAATAATATCGTTACTGCATCCCGGATAAGTTCGAGTCGAAAACTTTGATTGCAGAGTTACTAGCGTTCCTAAATTACATCAGACAGATTGCCTGTCTACAATACATGAATCACCAAACAAGTAGCATGAACAACAATGTACCTATAATACTTCACACGTGAATAAACAGAAACTAAAACGTACATACACACTATTACTTTTATGTACTGTTTGTCAAAAGAACTTAGAAAATATTTCTTATTCTCATTTTTGATTGCGTGGTACATAGGCATATTTATCCAATTTTGTAGGAGGCAGGATAAGCATTAGGTACCTACAGATGATCGATGTTGTGTTAGAGTAAACAATCCAAATGGTCAAATTTGGTAATGTTAAAACAAATTTAAATGCGAAACGTTGCGAGTCCAGTGATTCAGTGACACGCAAAAAGAGCAAGTGAGTACCCACGGTTGTTAATTTGCATAATTTATTTGTACGAGAGAATAATTAATAAAACAAACAGAATGGACACAGAGACACAGACATAAAATTGAATGTACAACGATTTAAGGCAAACCAACTTGGAGAATGGTCTTCCGCGACATTTGCCCATTCAACCCAATGTTTACGGTCGCTCCGTCCTCCATGACTCAGAGTTCACCAGACAAATGCCGACAATTAATGGATATATGAAAACTTATATGTATGAAGTCATTTTTATAAGCGAGTAGAACTATGGAGCGGTGTATTACGATTGCGACCTTGGACTGTAGTGGCGGGAGACAATAAGAGCTCATTGTCCAATGCCCGGATGGATGTGTCGCGAAACAGTATTGAATGTAATTCATATACAATAATATCTATATATCTGACTCCCTAATATGGTTACTGCAGATAAACGTTCTGAACTATTGTTTACTACTAGTCAGTGTCGGCATAAATGTGTATAGCTTAATTAGTATATTTACAGATATATCCGAAACTCCAGACATATCCATGTAAACAAACAGCTACATAAATGCTCAGCAACTAAACTGAAGACACTCGACACGATACAAAACAAGACGGCCGATCGGTGTATGTAAACTTGGTTTTGAAAAGCTCTAGCGATCATTTCCTTATTGCTATGCTATTAGTTGGCATCTATAACGAAGATATTTAAAGAGACAACGCTATTGTTGACAGCAAGAATGTGCTAGATTCTAGATGGTCACTAGAAACAACAAATGATGATAATGACAGGAAACAAACGTCTTAGCACGCTATATAAACATTTGACTGATACAAAGGAACAAATTACTAACTTACTGACTAATGGTATAATTATTGAATAAGAGTATAGTCTAGCTCTAGCACCACGTTCTCATTAATTTTCAGGTAAGTGAAAGTTGGCTTATAATTGTAAAGCAATTAAAGAAATAGAGTTTAACTTACATATCAGACGTGGAGAATCTACCACGCACCATTTTTTTAATTTTACACGCGAAATATTACGAAAATGTAAGACTAGAACACCACAAACTTCTCCGCAGCAAGCGGTATCACAGTTGTCATCTCACTATTTAATCGTATTTAGTTATCTTGTGTTTACTTGTCCTATAATAAAATGTATCAACGTCTCACGCACGAGCCCCACTGCAAAACCTAATGCAAACTTGGCAATGTTGTCGACCAATTACGTTCATTACACTCAAAGTATCGGTAGTTATTAATAGAATATAGAATTCAGTATCCGGTAGACGTAAAGGTGTTTGGAGGCTCTTCTTGTAATATAACTTTTCATGGGATTTAGTTGATGGATCCTTCTTGCAGCACTTGATGAATATCCAGTCTAGTATCGTGGAGGCGTTTTAACGTTGATTCGTTCGAAATGTTCGCTTTCAAATTGATCGTTCGCTGTCGTGTCGGGAACTCCGCGCGTGTCCCGGCGCGAGAGCACTGTGCGCGTGCGCGTCTACCGGCCCGTTTAGGCGAGCGCGGGCGTGCTCACGTCACCGTAGCCGAGAACAAAATGATAACAAAAACTTCACAATAATTGACACTACTCTACATCTATGCGTCTTCAGGGGCACCTACGTATCACCGAGCGACGACGCTATCTCCGAAGTTTGTTATGGCTTCGCTGGACACGTGCCAACGACGTCGATTGCAGTTACTTACGTTAGTACTACCGCTTTTGATGAAAAACAAACTTCCGTCACAAGGTCAGAATTAAAGTTGATATATAAAATTCTGAAAATAAACGGACACATGTGCGATTCGGAAGCGCATTTGCTGAATCATACATAGAACAAGCCTTGTTATATAAAGGACTGGAAGAAAGGATATTAAAAGGACGAAATGAATGTACAAAATCAGTATCTTTGGTAAGTACTGAGGAGCTATAAAATAAAACAAAGACAGAATTTAATGAGTCTTATACATAAATTGTTGCTTTTCAAGACTTCGAAATAACTAATGTTCAAAATAGTATACTCAGTTGGAGTTACTAGAATACAAAGTCAAGGCTATCGTAATATTGTAGATATTATTTACGAACAGCGGAGCATGCCAAAGCTGTCGATGACGAGGTATGTCACAAATTCATTGACAATGAACATAATGAGTTAGAAAGCATCTCAGTATTAGCTACCTACCTGCTTAATTTGCAAAGCGATTAACAAAGAAATAAATCTGACTGACACGTAATTGTTGAAAAGACAGGCGATAAATTCTAAGAGAATAGTGAACAGATGATTAGGTAAGTAAAAATTGTCAGACGCAACCATGTGTGAACAACGATACAATTTATGAAACTAAAGGCGTGCTGTTAGGTGCACATATTGCTGCATACGCTCACATTGTGCATGATAACTTTGTTTTTAATTATCAAAGAACAGCAAAATACTCAAATGGCACAAATGGCAAAGACATGTTGAAGCCATATCTCTGTAATGGCATATGTATCGTAATGAAGAAAGAGAAATATGTCGCTTCCGACATACTTTAAAAACCTAAATTCTATCAAGAGCACAAAATCCTAATGGGTTTGCACTGTTGCTGTTGCAGGCACTCATTAGCTGCGCCATCAAATCTATTGCGGAAGACCTTGCACTCATAACAACTGGCAAGAGACTCGGCAAAGGCTGTTAACTGTGTTTTGGATATTACAACTCAATATCTATTCTTAATGTTATCCCACATAAAGAAAAGGTACTGTTTTGTAATACCCTCCAAGGCAATGCAATTTTGCAACCCACGCTACAATACATGTATGTATGTTCAATACAATGACGTCATAAAGATAGCTGAAGTTTCGCTCGCGCATGACGACTTATCTTCCAATGTATTAAGCGATGCCTAACTGCATAAGGTGGGCTTAGGTGACTACGATTAGTTATTGATTCGAGGTACTTCAGTGGAAACAGCAATGCAATTCTGAAAAAAATTTACACGGATTTATATCGGAACCCCGCGGTTACAGATCGGACCCGCGTGTGGAAAATATTACAGAATAGTACTGCAGAAGATACATTCCGTACCATTTACGTATATTAGATACATAAAATATTAGCGAAAACCAGACAGAACAGCTACTTTTTTTGGAAAGAGCATCGACAGAATTTGGACTGCTGTAGCAACATAATGATTAATTGTAATTGTATTGAACAGATTCGTTTTAGAAAAAACTTTAAATCAAAAAAGATCTGCGAGTTCTTAGAAACAACGTTGGCTTACGAGCTTGGTTTTTTCTAAGAAAGATTACATGAGAACATTGATTGAAATAGGATATTCTAGAAGAGAAGTGTATTTTACACTTGTATGTAGGTACATATGTTACGTGATATTCGACACAAAAAATAAGCAACTAAGATCAAGTGAGGTCATAATGTAAAAATATATTTAGACATTAAAACCAAAACCTAGTGTTAAGACTAGATATATTATTTAAACCATTTCAAAACTAGGATTTTCCTTTCATATGAAGATAAAACTAGCAGCGGGACCGTCACGAAACAGATGATAAACGTATTTCTGGCAACTGTTAGGTTTTTGTTATTCATTCACCCCCTTATTATTAACGAAGACTAAGCTTGGATTAGTTACTCTACGTTTTGTCTCAGTTCATTGAATGACAAATGGCACTTGAGTGATATGAACAAAACACAGCGTAACTAGTCTTAGCTTATTCCTCATTTCTTAATTAGGGGGGTTAAAGTAAAGGAAAGTTGTTTTCACAAGCGATCCTAGCACATATTCAAGTATAACTAAGGTGAAAAAAAGGTAAAATCGCTTAAATCGTCTTCACAAATAAGGAAAATCAAACCAGTTGTAGAAATAAGTTTACCGTCTGTTTTGTGACGGTCCTCCTGTTCCTCTCTTGGCGTTTCTCATAATGCTTTTTATATAGTTAATGCTCATATCCAATTCCATTTGCATTTCCCGAAAAACCTTCGCGCCTAGAGCCCAGCAAATAACACAATAGTATTTATGCCCCTGCCTCTGCCTCCGAAGTTTCAAATGCTGTAAAATAAAACCTCACTTCCAAGTTTGCTCATACTTCCAATTTTTGAAGTTCAATATGCATTACTTCATTCATTACAAAATGACCATACAAGGACTTTTGAAGCAGCCATTAGTAATAATAGATATTTAACAATTGTCAAAATTTCAAAATAATGTAACCTAAATTGAGATTGCATGTTACAGAATCGACACGGCGACATGCTGATGGTTAATCTTAATATATATAAATTACGCGTCACGTTGTTTGTCCGGGATGGACTCCTAAACTATTTAAACGATTTATATCAAATTTGCACACCGTGTGAAGTGGATCATTCAACATCCAACTTGAAAGATAGGATAGCTTACATCTCAATTTATAGTCGCAATATTATTTTATTGCAAACTAGCGGCCCGCCTTCGCTTCGCTTCGGTGTAGAGCTGAAGTGTAGACTACAATTTTTGTTCTCAGGCTTGTATTATACACAATGACATTCATCTATGATTCTTCTTATACCTGCATGCAGTCTCAGCCCGATCGGTTTAAAATTGAATAAGTTTCATACAAACTTTCATTCCTTATTTTGATCCCCTTGGGGGTAGAATTGATCAAAATCCTTTCTTAGCGGATGCCTACGTCGTAACATCTAGCTGCATGCCAAATTTCAGCCCGATACTTCCAGTGGTTTGGGCTGTGCGTTGATAGATCACTATGTCAATCAGTCACCTTTGAGTTTTATATATATAGATTATTACTTTTGAGTGGTACCGACTCTGCTAGTAATAATATGGATTTGGACTCACCTATTGTGCAGGTCCGCTGGCTTGGCCATGGTGAACTCCTTCGCGTGGACGTTCAGCTTGTTGGTGGAGCCTGCGCCCGCCGCCGGACCCGCCGACGCCACGCCGTCTGTGCGCACACCTGCTGGTCAACGCCGCGAGTAAACAGAAGAGGAGATAGGAAAGATTGCGTGGACCCGATGAATGATGTGTGTCAAGTAGTGAATGATAGATTTAGTGTAATCGGTGGTTATCTAGTGGAATGAATTTTTAAAAAAGGGTGGAAAACTAGCATTTGGCTCGCCTTATGGTAAGAGGCCACTGGCACTGTAGCATATAGACACAGATGTGTGCGATACCAAAATAATCACTCGCATCGTAGTCTACCCTGATCGAATCCCCCTACCCAGTGGAGCCCTGGAACCTTACTCAGCGATAGAAATACAACACCATTACTGTAGTCTTTTGTAAGGTGGAGATTGCTTCCCGAGACGGGCTCTCCAATTAAAACGGAAAATCCTCTATGTCGTTACTCTCTAAAGACCACGGTAAACCTTAGAAATGATGTGTGTGTAACGTCTATGTGCTAGTTATAGTTGAAATCGGTGGAGGGTGATAGTTGAATGTGGTCAGTCTGATTGCAAACAATGTTCTAATCTCTGTTTATAAAAAAATATTTTAATTTCAGAAGAATGGTAAGGTCGTATGCAGATGACTCGTCTTGTTAGCAGTAAGCAGCTCCTTTAAGCTCTAATGTACATAGAATAACAATAAACGGGTGTACACACACCCTTAAGTATGTGTTTGGAGTTAAGTTCAGGATAAGCACAGGAAACCATCATTGCCAAATACGCGGGCAAAAAAGTAAAGGACGGTATTTTCGAAAACAAATAATGCTAGGGAACAAATAACATATTTGTACCATGCTTTTGCATATAGGTACAAAGTGGATAGTCCACTATCTGTTCCCAAAATAATTAAAGAAAATAGAGAAATGAAAGACTGTGTTTTGCGGGAAATTTCCTACTTAAGACTGTGTTTTGTGGGAAATTTCCTACCTAAGAGTAATATGCGTAACACCGACGTGTTTCATACTTATTTACGTGTGATCATTCTGAAATCTCTGAATCAGTGGAATGAAATAAAATATGAGTCTTGCGTCGAGGTGAATTTGTCAGACGAAAAGCATTATGTGCAATAACTTAGTAGTCACATGAACACTTTAGAGTGTGAAGATCTTTCATCAATCATACCATTGCAATCAGATTTTCAGACTTTTGTTTCTGCTCGTTTGTCGGATTAAGAGATAATACATTTTCATTTACAATTTTTAAACCGGTAAACTTAATGCCTACCCCTAAAAATAATATCGGATGCCTTTTGCGATAATTCAGCCTAGGTTCTACTTCTTGCTTCGTCGTATTACATTATGTCATCATCATCATCATCATCAGCCTATTAATGTCCCCACTGCTGGGGCACAGGCCTTCCCTATGGAGGGAATAGGGAGATTGGGTCATGACCCACCACGCGGGCCCAGTGCGGATTGGCGGGTGCTAACGACTGCAGATGCAGCCGGGACTAACGGCTTAACGTGCCTTCCGAAGCACGGAGGAACTCGAGATAGATGTTTTTGGTTACCCATCCAATAACCGACCACTGCGAAAGTTGCTCAACTTCAACTATCGCAGCCGTACGCGCTAACCACCTGCACCATCGAGCTCCTCAGCTTACATTATGTAGGTACTAAAAAAAAGCCATAATAAAAGTATGTAGGTACATACATATATGACAGGAAACGTTAAGGCCGAGCGGCGCGTCATTATCTAAGGAATTACAACTCCAAACAATAAACCCAGAAGCAATCGTTACGCTCAATGAGCAAATAAGAATACTGAAAAGCTCGTAGAATGCGACGTTGTTTACAAACTGTATAAACAAACCCGAAGCTTCCGAGACCGGCGGTGGCGGCGTCGGCGTCACGGCCGTCTCAGCCGCCGTGGTCACGGTCACCGGAGACACCGACACCGTCACAGGTGCAACCGCCACCGGCTGACCCAGCGATTGCTTCACTATACAACGAGACATCACAAAAATCCCGCACTCACAAAAACACCAAATCAGAAATCACAGCGTTCAATAAGCACATGACATACGCAACCCGCCGCAACAAACATTCGACTGTCGACCCGGTTCCAAATCCAAATATGATGTTTGTTTATTTTTAATTTTGGCGCCACTTTTCGTGATGACGATTGCCAGTAAAGTGTTTCCGTTCGAGCAGAGACAATAAAATCTAGAAGGCCATAATTTTATTCATACCTTCTAATACTAGAATAATACGGATAGATCTTTACGCTCTTGAGTAGGCTGTAGGTTAATAGTGAAATGTTTAGAAAATTAGTTGAATAATTCCAGCAGTTTTCTCACCTGGTGGTCTGTATATCTCGAGCGTGGGTTTCCCCTTAGCATTGGTTAGAATCATGCTTCGCCGTTTCCCATTGTTTGGAAACTGAAATCGAACAAAATCTTTTATTTTCCATTAATAGAATACATAATTCTAATATTACGAACAGTGTTGATGAAGTGTCACGATTTATTTTCGCAAGTGGCTGTGTCATCATGAAAACAAAAAGATCATCGACTAAGATAAATCCAAGGATGAATGAACTAAAAACTTACATAAAATTATTATAAGATATTCTATGATTTCTAAAGTATCGAGATGATACATCCATAATCATCATACCTGTTATTCCTTATTATTTTAAAGATATTTAACTCTATATTGAAAAAACTCTACTCGATCTAGGCATCAGAAAGGATTCGAACCTGCATCTTCCGCTATCCGGGCGAATTATGCCCTATTACTCAGATCTCACCTTATTAAAATATATAGATATTGAATTGATATATGTACAATGAAGACCATATTGTGATAATATTATTGATTGTTTACCTGGTTATGATGCATATTGTGATGAGATTGTGGGCGTACAAAACTGCGCTCTCTCATGATCACACCCGGAGATGCAAAATCCTGCATTCTGTAACTTCTCTGCAACTCATTACCAACTCCAATTTGGGTCTGCATCTTTATATCTATGGCGACCTCTTTTGTGTGTCAAATTTGATCTATGGAAGCTTACTTGGCTTCTGGTTTATTGTCTGTTTCATAAACTAGATTTCCGCGTTTTTCAACGAGAAAGTGGCCAAGTCACAATGTATGTTTTCTTTGGTAAATTATTGCGCTCTGGCGTTCAGTTTCTTTTTCTGATGTTAATTTATTAATGATAACGTACTTTTACAAACGATTTATACACTAGATGAATGACTAGTATTATAGTTACCTTTTTTACACGACGATACAATTGTAAATATTATTTATCTTTCTGAGCTATATACAAATACTCAATATAAAATCTATTCTAGGTATATTAACGGGCAATATACACTTCAAAAAAATGCGAGTAGTAGACAAAGCCTTGTATAATATAAATTATTAAAAAAAGTAAGATCACAACTATATTTTATTGTGACGTCACTTAGAGATCACTTTCTCCAGTTTATATATGCATATATAAATGTACATTTAAATTATTAGTTCCCCTCTGTCGTGGCCACAGATAGAGGGTGATTTTTTTTTCGATTTTTTCGTTAACGATTATGAAGAGCAGTGCAGTGTGGTGCCTGACGGCTACCGAGCGATAACTGATAAACTTGAGGGGGCCGATAGAAAGATCTCTTCGGCGCCAATCTCGAATCGATTCGTCGTAGGGGTTCAGTGAACCCAGATCTGCAACAAGTAATTACAAAATTTGTACAGTCATGTCGTTGTAATAAAATCTAAAAAAAAATATTCCCGGGATTGTACCAAATATTTTTTGGAAATTTACATAATAAAATAACATGAAACCTTTAAGAAATATTGGGTCCTTTCACTTACTTCCTAAAAGCTGCTAATAAATTCTTACTCGTATGTTGTGTTCATAATGAGGAAGAGATATTTCGAAGCAAAGTTTATCTTGTGTTTGTTCGAAGCAAAGTCAGCCTGCTGGAGAATTAACCTCCATATTACAGAAGACAACAGACAACAAATAACACTACCTTCGTGGTGTTGTGTTACTGCCGGTGATTAAGGATTGGGTTCAAGTTGCCGGCCGGAAGCCAATTCCCGTGAGAATAATGCGGGCGACTCATAACTGGATCCCGCAGTTACGCCTGGAGGCTGAGGGGTAGATTGGGGAGTTGGTTTACCTGGTAGGTACGGGAGCAGATCGGCTGGTTGGCAACTCGGACTACGGTCCGTGGGACTAGTCAGGTGACGCTGTGAACGGAGAAGCCTAGGATCGGATGAAGCGGGTGCGGGCTGGGTTGCTGGTCGGAGACGGGGTGGACATCAAAATGTCTGCCACGCTTGTGTGAGCGCACGTCATACTACTCCTGCACCAACTAGTAGCCTCGGGCTGCTCGCCGCTGGCCGAATGCACCACGCAATTACCTGCGTTGCGAGGGATTGTTCACACGGCGTTGATCATTGTCGTGGATATAATGCATTTTTTCTCCCGTTATTGAAAAAAAAGGCTATGTTAATTTATCTTTTTTCGCATAGTGACGCAGTTTTTCATGCTTGTGTGTACTTTGCAAACTATGCAAACTAAGCTATGTGAGCTACCTAAAATATGAGTGGCAGATTTTTCAGACTCTTCAGAAGTTCTGAACTTATAAGGATGAGGCACAATTTGCTGCGCTTTGTATAGAAAACCGTTTCAGGTAGGCATGGACGTAGGTATGGTTGTGGTAAGGCATAGAGTAACAAGAAAGGGGTAGCCATAGCGACATTATACTATCAAAATGATTCTGGCATGTTTTGCGGGGGAGAATATGCATACAAATGCAGTTTAACGTACATGGTTAAGAAACAAAACTGTAACTACAGCACTCACACAAACAATGACACAATACACCGCCAAATCGTGCACACATTATATCGTGAGTATGCCCAATTTTTATGCCCAATGCGACAGAGGGGAAAGCTACGTATGCCTACTCTCCTCCTGGCCATGTGTGTTGCTCTATGCGGTAAGGTAGGGTCAAATGGGAGACAGTGTCACAAAGGGCACTTCTTTATTTGTCTATGATCTGTCTTGGCGTGTTATATTCTATTAACATTGTTTTATTAGTTTCATGTTCCGCTATTAAGCAGCTGTCATCAGACGAAAAAAAGGTTAGCGGCGCAACCCATTATTTTCTTTCGCTTCGAACTCAGCAAAGAATTTTCACATTCGTATGGCAGTAACAAAAAAAATCGACAATCTCATGGACAATGTAGAGAAAGTTACATACGAATAAGGCAACGTTGCAAATGGTGTAACATATTAACGATTAATTGTTTTGCTTTATATTTTCCAATAATCTATCTATAATTAAATGTGCCGTCCTCGATATGCTTTACCAACACGTTGTTGCACGCAGTGTTAAAGGAACTAGTTAATTACCTACGTTAGTTTAGTGTACCTTAGCGATGTACACGCTCGATCACCATACATGCAGATTAGGTACTATACATACGCGGACTAGTAGAATGATTGAAATTTGAAAATGTATTTTTAATTTTACCATTATGTGTGCATTTCATTCTTTTTTTATATATTATAGTAATATAAGTTATTTACGGGATTGTTACCATGTACCTTGTTTTTAGCGAGTTTCCGATATTTCGGCACTGTTGCAAGCGCCATGATCACGGAGTTACACGGAGTTACTCCGTGATCATGGCGCTTGCAACAGTGCCGAAATATCGGAAACTCGCTAAAAACAAGGTACATGGTAACAATCCCGTAAATAACTTATATTACTATAATGTTAGTGACCATGAAAGTTTAAAACAATATATTTTTTTATATATACTTTGTACAAAGGTACAAAAAAAGTAAAAACAATTGTTATTGTCTCCTAAAAAGTACTCTTTCGGTTCATTTGAAAGTAAAATGCGGCTGTAGCAACTTATCTTGTTGTATAATACGATTCAACTAAGAATAGGACTGACTGCGCGCCATTTTGAGACCTCATAGCCGTCAATTCAAACTAGTTAGGTAGAGTGAGCAAAAAAGATTTTCTTTAATAAAACTTATTTACAAAGATTAAGTGAGAAAAAATATCAAATTTTTAATAATATTTATTTATTAAGACTAAGTGAGAAAAAACATTAATCAGAATCTAGCTCTTTAATTCCACCCATCTCTGTACTACCGTCGTCGGAGTAGTCATCATCATCACTGTTGCTTTCGGATATAAAATAAAATATCGTTTATTGTAGGTTTTAAAATGACAACTTCATGTAAAATAAAAAAGGGTATTTTTTGCCTGTATTTATAATAAAACTAATGTTATAATTTTTATTATTTTTAAAGCATGTAACTGCTTGATGTTTAAATCTATAGAATCCTCTATTCTAGCAATGCTATTTCTTCTTTCAAATGTTTAATACTTGTAAAAGTATTCATTTGACATTGTGGGTTACCTAAAATGCGAAGAGATGGCGCTGCCTTGCAGCTTAAGAATGGCTAGAAGAATGTCGACGCGGTTCGTGAGGGCCGCGGTAACATAATTGGTCAGTGCATTCGCCCGGATTGCGAAGGGTGCGGGTTCGAGTCCCGTCTGATTCCTGGTCCGCGTGGATTTTTTTCTAGTTATATTTTCTTTAGATTTAAACATCAAGCAGTTACATGCTTTAAAAATAATAAATATTATAACTATAATTGCTATTTCTTCTTTCAAATGTTTAATACTTTTAAAAGTATTCATTTGATATTGTGGGTTACCTATAATGCGAAGAGATGGCGCTGCCTTTCAGCTTAAGAATGGCTAGAAGAATTTCGACGCGGTCCGTAAGGGCCGCGGTAGCATAATTGATCAGTGCATTCGCCCGGATTGCGAAGGGTGCGGGTTCGAGTCCCGTCTGCTGCCTGGTCCGCGTGGATTTTTTTCTAGTTATATTTTCTTTAAAACTAATGTTCTTATTAGTTGTCCCTTTTCTAGTACTCATTTTCTTTACGTTACAGTTCATTTATGTCCTTCTTTTGTTTAGAAATGTTTGGTATTTATTCTAAGATTAGCTTAGTGCGTAAAAAAAAGTATTCCAAGATTTTTATACAAACCATACTTTTCAAGCGACATTTGACAAATGGAGTTCATTGGCTTTCCTATTCTTATTTGAATCGCATAGTATAAGTTGTCACAGCAGTGCTTCAGTAGAACAATCAGGTCGACTACTAAGTTAACGGCAATGGGGACTCATGGGAGTGACCAGGAGTGACTCACCGCTCTGTCGTTGTGCGACGACCGTCGTTTGTTCGTGCTCTGCACTCGAACTCGTTCACTTTACTCGATTAATGTTTCACTGCAACAAACAAACAAAAACCACTGTTAATAAGAGTTCGAGTTCAAGGCCACAGCTGATTTCCCGATCGCATTGGAGCGGCCCCGTCTGGAGAAGTAACCAGAGCCCTCTTTCCCAGTGGGCACTTTGGGCAAGTGCCCAGGGTCCCGCGATAGATAGGGGCCCCCTTTAGATCAAATACAAAGTCCCTAGTTCCTGATAAATCACCAAACGGGGGTCGTAGGGGCCCCATTATCCTAATATGCCCAGGGCCTCCAATAGGTCAAAGACGGCACTGGAAGTTACCTCCACTTTACAGCAAAAGGTAACACTATGGTATATATATAGGTGGTGTTGTGTTTCTGTCGGTGAGTTAGGTTCCAGGGCTTCAGGGAGTAGGAGATTGGGTCAGGGTAGGGTGGGTAGGTTCCTAACACCATTTTTCATTTTATGTGACTGTTTAGGATCTACAACGATTTAAAGTTGTATATTAACCGCTTGCGCTTTTCATTTCAATCTTACGTTTGTATAGACCTTTGTTACAATGAAATTGTGAAAGAATACCCCAAAAATACTGAATGAATTTTTATGAAACTTAACAATAATATAGCTCATGTAAAAAAATAACATATATTTATTTATTTTATTTTTTACAACACTCACACCAATTAGCCTAGCCCCAAAGTAAGCACTGTAAGACTTGTGTTATGGGA